TGTGTGTGTGAGTGAGTGAGTGAGTGAGTGACTGAGTGTGTGTGTGTGAGTGTGTGTGTGTGTGTGATAAGGAGGGTGTGTGTGTGTGTGTAAGTGTGTGTGTGTGTGTGTGAGTGTGTGTATGTGTGTGATAAGGAGGGTGTGTGTGTGTGGTGAGAGAGAGCGTGTGTGTGTGTGTGTTTGTGTGTGAAGAGAGAGAGAGAGAGCGTGTGTGTGTGTGTGTTTGTGTGTGAAGAGAGAGAGAGAGAGCGTGTGTGTGTGTGTGTTTGTGTGTGAAGAGAGAGAGAGAGAGCGTGTGTGTGTGTGTGTTTGTGTGTGAAGAGAGAGAGAGAGAGCGTGTGTGTGTGTGTGTTTGTGTGTGAAGAGAGAGAGAGAGAGCGTGTGTGTGTGTGTGTTTGTGTGTGAAGAGAGAGAGAGAGAGCGTGTGTGTGTGTGTGTTTGTGTGTGAAGAGAGAGAGAGAGAGCGTGTGTGTGTGTGTGTTTGTGTGTGAAGAGAGAGAGAGAGAGCGTGTGTGTGTGTGTGTTTGTGTGTGAAGAGAGAGAGAGAGAGCGTGTGTGTGTGTGTGTTTGTGTGTGAAGAGAGAGAGAGAGAGCGTGTGTGTGTGTGTGTTTGTGTGTGAAGAGAGAGAGAGAGAGCGTGTGTGTGTGTGTGTTTGTGTGTGAAGAGAGAGAGAGAGAGCGTGTGTGTGTGTGTGTTTGTGTGTGAAGAGAGAGAGAGAGAGCGTGTGTGTGTGTGTGTTTGTGTGTGTGTGTGTGTGTGTGTGTGAGTGTGTGTATGTGTGTGATAAGGAGGGTGTGTGTGTGTGGTGAGAGAGAGTGTGTGTGTGTGTGTGTTTGTGTGTGTGTGTGCGTGAGATTCAGAGCATTAGATTAGATTCATTCAGTCACAGAGAGGCTGCAGTGATTTGTAAATCATTTAATGATTAATGTGTGTGTGTGTGTGTGTCTGTTGATGAGTATTATTATTATTATTAATATAATTAATATTCTACTGCTGTACATACAGATTCAGATGATCTGAACCAATGGGGCTTTAAACACATGAACACTGCACTTCTCTGAGCCAAAACTACCCACAATCCACCTCTCTGCCCATACAAACACACTGACGTCACGCTGTACTGCTGTACTCACGCCAACATCCACACGACCCATAATGCACTGCGCTCAGTCCACAACATTCAACCAAAGTGTGTTTCTGCTTTAGTTTGTGTGATTATGACGTTTGAGTTCGCGTTGTCATTTCAGACTCATCTTCACACTCTTACAGATGCATTTAAACCGGCAAGCGACGGCCGCTCTGTATAATGTGAAATAAATGGATTAATAAATATATTTCCTGTTGTAAACTAGCTACAATACTGAGATGATGATTCATTAAACTGTTTTAATAATTCCTCCGGCTTTTGTGTGTGTTTTTTTTTTTTGCACGTTTCTGTGCTTTTACAGGGGGAACTGACAATATTCATCATCTCAAGGCATGTGTGTGTGAGAGAGAGCGTGTGTGTGCGCGTGTGTGAGTGTGTGTGAGAGAGAGAGTGTGTGTGTGTGTGTGTCACACACACACACAGGTAAGATCCTGTTTCATTAACCCAAAGAAAATGTGACATATATTCAGGCTGTCATGAGATGAAAATATACATTTAACAGACAGTTTTATCCAGAGCAGTTCATGGCAGGCTCATTAGGAGAGTAGATGAACAAGCTTTAGAAGGACGTTGTCATGAATCATAATGCACTTTCCAATGATGTGCAGAGTATCGGGGCAGTGCTCATGTGTCTGATAACAGACGGTTTGCTCAGAAACACAATCTGATGGTCAAATCATCAGAGAGTCGTTGAGTTTCACACACACACACACACACTGTATGTGAACAGGGAGCGAGTAACACTTCACACAATACACCAGTGAAACTCACACACACAGACATTTACACACAAACACATGAAAGAACAGCGGCTCATTCACAGCTCTCTCTATAGGTCTCTCTCTCTGTGTGTGTCTATGGTGGAGTTTCTAGCAGCTCAAAAGCACATGATATCAATTCATTTTTCATCTGCAAACCAATTGCTGCCTTGAAGAACTTTTTTTTTGTTCTGGATATCTGTCTATTTACAATACATATATATATATATACAGGTGCATCTCAATAAATTAGAATGTCGTGGAAAAGTTCATTTATTTCAGTAATTCAACTCAAATTGTGAAATTGTGAAAATAAATTCAATTCACACAGACTGAAGTAGTTTAAGTCTTTGATTCTTTTAATTGTGATGATTTTGGCTCACATTTAACAAAAACCCACCAATTCTACTTCAGTCTGTGTGCATTGAATTTATTTAATACACGAGTTTCACAATTTGAGTTGAATTACTGAAATAAATGAACTTTTCCTCGACATTCTAATTTATTGAGATGCACCTGTATAAATATATATATATATATAGAGAGAGAGAGAGAGAGAGAGAGAGAGATAAGGCACCAAGTAATGTCAATATTCTGTCAATCATTCATATATCAAGATATTAGGAACAAAATTTAACTCGATCAAGGCAGTAAGTGTTTAAATAGTAATTGTTTTATGCTATAATGCTTTGGCAACATTATATGTAAACGAAATCATGCCAATAAAATGCTTTAAATTCAAATCGAAATTAATTTTAGGCTACTATGGTGATCAGAGTTGTATGTGTAGTTATTGCAGTGAAATCATAATGAATGACTGTGAAAGGAGATTCTGGTCTAGTATCTGTCAGCAAGCATCATGAATTCACATGCACAGTTTAATATATTGCATTTTTTAAAATGTAAATGTTTTATTTCATGCAAATCTCTTGAACTTCATGTAACAGTAGCTGGTATTTTGGCATAAACTATGGTTACCGTGGTAATTTTGGGGTGATGGCATCCAGTCAGTTTCTGTGTGTGTGTGTTTCTCGTGTTACCGTCACCTCCGGTCCCGTCTGTCATCTCTCCGTCGAGCGCGAGCTTTAATGTCGCTGTAACAATAGCAGCGGCGCGTGAGGCGCTTCACACCCGGATCACAGCGTGAGAAACACAGTCATAAACCGCATCGAGACACTGGGCTGAGCACATCCATCTACTTCTACACGGGTTATGACATTTCATTTCTTTTCACCAGTAAAGTATTTCACTAAAACTTCAGTTTGAAATGTTTTACAGTGAATATTATGAGGTATTATAAAGTCATAGTTATTATAAAGTCCAAATATGCCAGTGTATGTCACATAAAGAGTAAGCTATAAATAGATAATTTAATTCTATTCACTTGTCAGCAGGATCTCACTACATTTTTTATTTTTTTTTGGACGACAGGAATATATTTGTATGCTTGCATTTTATCACTTTTGTAATTAAACAAAAATATATCCGATGTTTTTTGCTCAGAATCGGGGGGGATCTCATGTTTCATGTGACAGACAGCCGGCCGGACCAATGGGAGACGGTCCTCCCCTCAGTGGGCGGGGCTTGCCGGCGGTCCTCAGCCTCGCGAGCGTCCACCTCTGCAGCGCGCGCAGTCCTGAGCCACTCCGCGTCCGAAAGTGTGTCTGAATGTTTTTGTCGAAGTTATCTTTCGCACCTCACGGTTCCGCGCTGCGACGAGTGGAGTATACACGAGTTTAAACCAACTCTGGGATTAGAGAGTTCTCTGTGGCAGGACAGTGTGTGTGTGTGGGGAGTGAAGTTAGTTTAGAAAGTGTATTGCCTGAAGTTCTTCATGATTCGGATGTTTGCATAATTAAATAAACTCAGTTTTATATCGGATTGAAGAGGTTTGAGAGACTGCAGTGATTAATGAGCTGACAGCAGGACTTCGAGGACTCCTGGATTATGTCTCTCTTCTGGTTCTGGTCCTGGTTCTGGTCCTGGTTCTGGTTCTGGTTCTGGTTCTGGACTGCATGCATCACAGCAGAGGAAGGTACGATCCACATGCGGTTATTAATGTGCTCGGAGTCTTTCTGTTAGTGCTGGAGCGTTCAGTGGTTCCAGAACAATGCAGCTGAAACATCAGAATGTGGAATTATTATCATTTATCATTGATGGAGTAACTGTTATTCTTTGAAAGATTTGATTGGCTTTCACACTGCTGAATCTTCTTTCTGCATGTGGTTTGGGATGAGCAATCATGTAGTCGACACACAGCAGTTTATTCAGTTGATCTTGTGCTGTGAAGAGAAGAACTCAGTGTAGAAGGGCTTCAGTAAAGGTTACACATAAAGTTTTCCCCAAAGTGAACCGTTTCTGGTTCCCAAAGAAGATTTCAGTCAACAGTTCCTAAAAGAACCGTGTAATCGTCTGAAGAGCCTTCTGCTGAGCAGTGTCGGGGAAAGTTACTCTTAAAAGTGATGCGTTACAATGTTGCGCTACTCCATAAAAAAGTAACTAATTATGTTACTCAGTTACTTTTTATGGAAAGTACTGCGTTAGGTTACTTTTGCGTTACTTTGTAAATCTGGACAGGGCTTGCTTGTTTGCTTTTAAAATAAAAAAGTTATATTTTTGGCAAATATAAAAGCCTTTCACACCAAAAGTGAAATGAATGCGCCTCAGGCTGAAGGGACAGTACAGTAGAATGCAGAAGACATTTCAACACTTCAGCAATAAACAAAGACACAAATGTCTGTCTAGAGTAATTTGTGATTATTAGTACGCTTGAACTGCATCATCAGAAGCTCAGAAGCTAATAGAATGGGATTAAATACATAAAGCATATTTGTGTTGTTTAACATTTAATTATTGCAGGTTTGCGTCATATTCTGAGTTGCATTATTTTTATTCATTTTGAGGAATACTGAATCTGTGTTGTGTGTGAGTGAGATGAATTAATGCATATTCATATTTATTTTAGAACTACAGTAACATCTTCTGATTTCTGTCACCATGGCAACACCAGAGCTGTCAATCAATACATTGGAAACAAAGT